ACACAATCAATGTATTTATAAAATAAGATATTGATTCATTATTGTCGGGATTGGTTTATAACGTTTGGTTGGTTTACATTTGTGAGATCCATCATAAGCCACTAATTTAAGATAATTAATGTTTTTAATTAATGAGGTAATTATTGTTACTTATTAAACAAAAATTAGAACATATTTTTTAATGAATTTAAATACATATCTATTTTTCTCTCTCTTCTCCTCTTTCCACAATATACATACACATACAATTGAATGTGTATACAATGTGAACAACGTAAAAAACCTTAAGCATTTTTTATTATGATGTTCACACTGTGCTTACAAGATTCACATGGTGTTTACAAGTGGTAGTTTAGACTTAGGGGCTGTTTACCTAAACACTTATTCGGTAAGCGCTTAATGGTAAATTTCAACTATATTGCATACTTATCGGGTAATATTTTAGTCTACCAAAACGACTACGTATATAACAATTTACCTAGTAAGTGATAACCGTGGTAAGAGTCGTCGCCACCACTTACCGGGTAAGACTCTAGGTCCGTGTCTTCGCTCTTACCAGGTAAAATTCTTGGTTTTTGTCATATTAATTTGGTAAAAAAAGTGACTTGATAAGCTCTTACCCGAGTAACCATTTGGTAAACGGCCCCATAGTTTTATTCATTTAGTTGGTCTATTCACTATATGTTAATAAGTTACACCAGATATCAACATATTTAGAATGTACAAATTATAACAATATTTATAATAAAATGGCATAATGTGTTCTATTGTGTGTATAAATTATACGTCAGTTAATGTAAAAGAGATGACAGAAAAAATAGGATAAGGAGAGAAGAGAGAAGAGTGGAGAGAGAAAATAAGAGAGAGGGGGAGACATTTTTAATTTATTTTGTATTTTTTTAAACTATTTTTATGGTCTAAATAGATATTACAAATTGGAAAGTTCTCAAAAGAAGGTCTCTCTCTATATAGCATGCTAGAAGTGCTCATGGGTTGGGTTGATCGGGTTGAAGACATTTGAACAATCCAATCTAATGTTTGCGGTTTGGGAAAATCTTAATCCAACCCAAACCAAAGTGCAACCCAACCCAACCCGTATGGGTTGGTCGGGTTGATACTTTGGTATATTAAAATATTATTCTAACTTTGAATATGTTATTTTTCTACTCATAATTTATTTTTCATCATCAACCATTTGATACAACTTATTCATATTTCTTACGTATATCACATTCAGTTAATTTTCTCAATTTACATATATATGTTCACAGTTACTAAATGAGTTATATAAAGATATAAATAGATTGAATATACGTGTATATGAAAAGCATACATGATAGTGTAATTGTCTAATGTATATATTAATAGAAATTCAACAATCATATTAAATCCAATAAGTAAAAGGATATCGGGTTCATCGAGTTGGGTTGAGTTCAAATAATAGTAACCCAATATCAACCAAATACCTACGGTTTGACAATTTTACAACTCGATTTAAACATCAGATTGCTTCAGGTTGGGTTATTTCACGTTGGGTTGGGTTGATCGGGCTTTTAAGCACCCCTATAGCATGCTATATTTGAAACGTGCTATATGAGACAAATCAAATAAAAACCATAAAAATATTATAAATTCGTGAGAACTTATTAAGAAATATCTTTTACATAATTTTTTTTTTTATTTTAGACAACGATTTAAGGTATTATTTTATTTATATTTGTGACATAATGCGATAATTTCACAATCTGAAACTTATTTACGTGTATTTTTTTCACAATATAAACACAAATATATGTGAAACAATATTTTAAAATTTAGTCTTTGATAAGATAATTATTTAAAAGATATTTCCATATTTCCTCGTACAAAATAAATATTTATAATAAAAAAGAGGTAGTTTAAGAAAACTGTAATAATTAGATTAGTTTAATAAATTTACCCATCTCATAATTAAATGGAGAATAAAAATATATATTTATTTTTAAAAGTGAATACTTATTTATAGACTACTAGAAGAGTACTCGCGCAATGCAGCGAGACACATCTTGATTTTAATGTTCCATTTTATTCTTTGTCTCTATCGATGTTATAATACGATTTTATGCGTTTTAAAGAAAACAATAATGATTTTATTTTTTGAATAAAATATAAATTTGAAGATATCATAAAAATTTGAAGATATCATAAAAATTTGAAAAAAAATTATATCAATTTTAATATCAAATCAACTATTTAAAAGTTTTTACTTTTTACGTAATTTCTTTAATTTTTTTTATTATAATTTAATTTAAGTATAATAATGAAATAGTTTATTTTTGGTTTAATAATATAACATTTTATAAAAATAATTAAGTATTATGTTAGAACTTAATGATTATCCTAATTATATTTTARAWTTTTTATATTTAAAATGAGATGTTTATTCTGTATTTGATTATGTTTATCTGCAGTTAGTTACACGAATTCAGATATGGAGCTTTAATAATTGTACTAATGCACA